CTCCCTTTCTGTGTTTCTGCATGTGTCCTTCAAAAAAGAAAAATCACAACACGGGAGGGTGAAAACGAATCAGCCAAACACGCCTTTTTTGTCGACTCTCCTGCTGCGCATCAACACTCTCATTTCTAACCTCACATGACACCCTGATTCCATCCCCAGATCCCCCTTGCGCGGTTAACACCCTACATTGTTGTGGCCTCAGTGAAACAATGGAGGTGGGACAGAGGGCGGAAGGATGTGGCTGAATGCCTCAGCATAAACCCATGGAAAAAAAGGGTCTGCAGTCACACTTTCCGCCAATGTTCTTTGAAAAGTAACAAGTACAACCAGGAGTCACTCATGCACTCCACTGTCATAGACATGTATCTGGTTTTTGAGGATGAGATCATTCTAATGAACAGGAAAAACCGAAGGAAGTGGGTTTACACAGGATTTTCCTATCAATTTCCTTCATACATTTCCAACTTGTTTTGGTTTCATAGCATGAAAAGGATAAGAAAAAAGAAAAGAAAAATACAATAAAATAAAGAAATAAAAAAAATGGGTTTGAATCCAAATGGGGGCGCACACGTTCCTCATTGAGGGAGCGCGTGGAGAGAGGATCTTCCATGTCAAATCTCGTTATTTAGAGTGGAATTAGATGAACCACAGAGCTTTAGATTATTAAATGTTGCCATTTACGGCTACAAAACAGGCTCAAATAACGCAATGTGGAATTGCCACACTGCGAACATCAGAGAAAACCACAAACAGTTCTGATTACTAGCTTATCTAAGGAAATTTGCCAAGTTACAAATCCTGATAAAGCAGTAAAGTTTCCTTTAAAACCTCTACAAAATAAAAGCATTTCTGCTGAGCATCGCGGCTTCACTAAAACGCGACCAAAACTAAAAGGCGTCACTCGTTACAAATATATAATCTAGTTCAGCGGTGCTCTCAAAGCAACATTTGTGACAGTTCTTTTCTTAAAAACAACAATCTGAAGCTTTTATTTTGAAGGCTGCTTGTACTGGTCTCTGTCAGAGCTCCAGCTTCACACGCAGCTCGCTGCTTAGCGGAGTCACAGCCGTGAAAGTGGCGGAGGCGGACATTGTTGTGGTAACAGTCCATCTCCGGAGGATGAGCACAGATGATGATGTACATATTTTGAGCGGTGAGCTTTGTTTGTTATTTATTTTTTTATCTAAACAATGAATCTTTTTTAAAGAAAAAGGGGGGTAAAGCTGCTGCGCCGTGCGGACTCCTGCAGCCACCGGAGTTCATTCAGCTGAGGCGAGACAAGCACAGCCCGATGAGACGATGCCAGCGGTGTAGAAATCACAACATCTGCAGGGTGTGCTTGGTCAAGCCTCCGTGGACTCACCGGGCCTTTGTCCAGAAAAGCCCACGGAGCGGCTGTTGCCTTCAAAAAAAACTGCGCGGGGAGGAGAAATAAGGGCTGCTGTGCTCCCGGAGGCCTTTGGAGAAAGCAGCCTGCTGCTGAGAGGATGACAGATTGACATTAATAGGGGCTTGCGGTGCGTTTTTCACACACGACCTCATTAAGGCGTTATCCACGGAGAACAGCACAAAAAGGGACTGAAGTCACAGCCTTGGAGATAAAGACAATCTAAATAAAGACACCACATGTTTCTGCCTTGATTTTACCTCCGGTGATCAAATACATTACATCTGGATTACAGCGGATGCATGTGTTGAGCATTAAATATAGCCACATCTCAGCGCTTTTAATAGATTCTCAGGTACCCATAGGTGTCGTTTTTTACTGAAAGAAGAAAAAATGGGTAGCGAAGGTGAGATAATAAACAGAGAACTGTCAAAGATGTCTGACGAGGACTTGCTGGCGTGCTCCAAAGAGGAGCTGGTGAGCCGGTTGCGTAAAGAGGAGTCAGAGAAAATATCGGCTCTGATCCAGCGCGGTCGGCTTATCAAAGAGGTAAATAAACAGCTGCAGGGACACCTCCTCGAAATCAGGGAACTGAAAGTCATCAATCAGCGCCTGCAGGAGGAGAACACGGAGCTGCGGGACCTGTGCTGCTTCCTAGACGACGACCGGCTCAAAGTGAAGAAGCTGGCCCGGGAATGGCAGCTGTTCGGGCATCACGCAGCCAAAGTGATGCGGGAGGACCTGGGCGGGTACTTGAAAAAGCTCGCTGACCTGGAGCGCATGCAGGACGGGCTGGTGAAGGAGAATCTGGACCTGAAGGAGCTGTGCCTGGTCCTGGAAGAGGAGTGTGTGAGCAGGAGTGACTCCAGTCCAGGAGGTTCCACCGAGCTGAATCTGCCCTGCATGGTGGCCCGGGACCTGGGAGATGGGAGCTCAAGCACAGGCAGCGTGGGAAGCCCAGACCAGCTTCACCTGGTGTGCTCACCTGATGACTGATGGCAGGTGTGTGTCAGCAGCTGAGGACTGGAGGGAGACAAAGGTGCTCTGTCAGATAGTACAAATTAATCTGGAGGATTAAAAAAAAAAGCATTAGGGCTTTCTGAATGCTGCAAAGATTTGTGTGCCACTAGACTTGAGACTCTTTCCACATTTCAGGACTTTACAAAGACATTTATTAGATGTTTGCCAGATGATAACATGTCTAAATTTTACAGTGTTTTTTCTAAAGATTCTCCTGAAAATTCTCCTTTTTCAGTGGTCTGTTGTTGAGAAAAAATGGGACCAAAAAAGTGGGTCACATATATAAATTTATCTCATGCACTGGATTAGCCTACACTGGTAGAAGCCTTTTTCTCAATTGCACTGGACAGCGTTATCTTGGATCTTGAAAACACAGATCTAAAGATTCATTTCAATCCAGTTTCGAGCCATATTTAGTCCTCTGAATTCCAATAGCACTGAAACAAAGGAAACTATTTGATAATTGCTTTTTTTGCTAATGATGTGTAATATTTTATGCACTCTCGCTTCCTCAGGACAGGATTGGAGTGCCATGTGTGCATGATGATTGTCACCATTTGTAACAAAGCCTGTGAAGCAGCCTGACGTGAAGGCCCTTTAGGTTTCCTGAGGGGTGGGGCTGCTGAGAATAATGTAACACGTGCAGACCTACACACTCACTTTGGATCAGGCATGGTAGATGTTGTTGGACCTCACGCAGAGCTGAACTGAAAAATAAGTTCTGTCACTATTTTTAAAATTCAACTGGAAAACTCTTTGTATCAAACTGGAAGGTCTACAAGTTTTGGTTGATTTTTATTCTGTTTAAGCCGAGCTGTTTAAATTCTTTTTTTTTCTTCTTGTCTTTGTTTTTTTTAAATGAAGTTGTTGCTGAATTATCATAAGATTTGTTAGCTTCTTCTTCTGTAACTCATGCTTTGTATTTAATCTGTAACATTAGGAGCAAACTTAACTTCAGCCCTTCTTTAATCTTGATTTGTCTGTATTAACTAGCTTTACTAACCAGTTTCAGTTTAAACCATAGCACCTGGATTACAAGAGGTTTATTTTGTTGTTAGCTGTTTATTGGTGGGCTATGCTCGTAGTGCACTGAAAAGCTTTAAATACAGTGGCTATGACACTCGGGTCTGTTCTGACCTTTCTTTGTGTATTTGCCTTGCAGAAAACATGCATTTAACATGACACACACGACAAATTGATTTCTGCATTTGTTCTGACCTTCGTGTCTGAACCAACTGCGCTTGATTGATGCTGCCTTCATGCCACACTGACTGACGTTATGGATATTCATCAGTTTTATTTTTGGAGCCCTATTTGCACAGTCTGGAGAGCTGATGGGGGTGGAGGGGGGTGATGCTTTTACCCACTTAGTGATGCACAGACGTCCTTTGACAGCAGCGTACATACAGATTTTTTCTCCCTCGTGCTCTCCAGCTCTCAATCTGACTCTTGTTCCATCTCCGCCTCTCTGCCTCGCTCATCCCATTTTAGCAATTCAATGCTCTCTGAGCCGTGTATGTATTAGCAAGAGATTCACTTCATTTTAGGGTAACAGAGGCCACAGTGTTGAGAGTGGAGGGTCAGAGAGTGGCCAGCAGAGTTTGTCAGCGCATGGTGCAGTAATAAAACTCTCTTACTCGCTGCCACTAATGATTAATTCTGTATTTATTACTGTGTCAGGTATTTTCTCAATTAACTGATATGAAGTATGGCCTTAACACCCAGAGTCAAAGGGTAATGTCTTCAAAGTATTGGATTTTTTCTGATCAACAGTCTGAAGATGTTAAGATCAAAGACCACAAAAACCTGGAGAAGCTGCAGTCCAGGGGCGGAGCCAGGCAGGGGTCTGGGGTGGCACTGCCCCCAGAACCAATAATGAAGCTTATTGGGGGGTTCTTCGCACATAATCATAGGAGTTAAGAAGTAATCAGACACAGCTGGGTATAATCTTAACAATCAATTAATGTTTATCAACAGTTAAAAAATAATTAAATTAACAACCATTGCATATTTCTTTTAAAATGATTTAAAATGTGACTGTATACGAGTCTTCACAGTGTACATGTCTACATGTGTGAAAACCTATTTCTGCCACTTAAAAAATAATAAATAAATGAACAATTTTTTCATCTATAAGTAAAAATGCTGTGTTATTACCAAAAAATTTGAGTTGATATTTTGAGATAAACCAAAATTTTGTCTTCGGATGGCAGAAAAATGTTGATGGTGGAAAGAAGCAACTCAAAAATTTTAGTTTTGACCTAAAGACAACTTTCCATCAATTTGTGTTTCATCCCAGTCTAAGTAAAAAAAAAAAGTGTATAAAACTGTCTGACTCCACCACTGCTGCGCCTGGAGAATATTCAGCATTACTGCTCAATTAAAAAGAAATTACTAGAACATTAAACTTCAATCAGGCAACTGATCAATGAATCGAATCCTCATTTCAGTCGCGTTGTCACGTCTCATTTACATTTCTGAATCTCTTTCACACATTTCGAATGATCCAGACAATCGACTCTGAGTAATCTGCTGTTTTTCAGATGATTTTCAGTCACAGTCTCTTGCTTATTTTGCCAATAACTGTACACCATTTCTCTTTGCACACACCTTTGTTCTTTATTATCTGGTTTTTTTCAAACAAAGACAAATTTAAGGCACTGCCCTCCAAACAGTTCATTTTAACAGAAAACATAAACAGTACCAAAAAATATATTATATTCTCCATAATAAATATGTGATTATATCATTTATAATAACTCCTATGGCCCAGCCTTAGTGGTCAGTAATTTGTATAAAGATAATATTAGGGTTCTGAAAGGGTCCACGCATAAATATGGACCTGTTAGTTTAAGCACTCCGTTTCCCTTTTTGAGGACTTTCACAACACACTGTAACAATATAGTAACTCATCAAAGGGAACATTATAATGTATTATATCTAATAATATATGATTAAATGGAGTTATCACAGTACAACGTTTGTATAATTAGAGAATATAGTCTGCATGCAGTGCTTTCGCAATAAACCTCAAACACACTCATTCTTATTTTATAACTCTGAAAATTAGAAATATAAAGACTTTATATTCTTATAAAAACTAAAAAAAGTGTAACATTCGTCTTCTAATAATGCCACAGATTTGCATATTATCTAAGAAAAGCATCAACTTTCTAAAGAAATCGAGCAGCTGCACGTTGCTAGTTTCGAAATGATAAGAGCCGTCATTTTCACTTCCATCACATTTCCTTGACATCCTGCACTGTGACTGCGCTGAAATCAAACTTAGTGTATTGCCAGGAAGGCAGGGCCGTCGATTACAGTGAGAGGATGGTTGGTGAGTGCAGGGAGTGATCCGACTGGTCACCGCTGCTGCTGCTGCGGCGATGAGCTATCCCACAGGGCTGTGGGGCCTGAGACTGCTGGACACTTCCCTGGTGTGATGTAACGTGGGATGTGCTGGAGGCACTGGTGTCTAAAGAGGCAGAGGGGTAGGTGAAAACTGTGCCAGCTGTGAAGGACATGATAGAGGGCGTGGAGAGAACTGGGGTGTGGAGTGACTCTGATTCAGTAGCAACAGCAGAGGCGGTTGATGTTACAGGCTTTGTGGGGATAGTTATCCTTGGTCTGGGCTTCTCCAGCTTTATGGGTGGTTTGATTGAGGGTCCAGGACTGCAGGAGTCCGCTGGCTCTAGTTTGATGGCTGCCAAAGAGGAAATGGATGGACCTGAGTCAGAATCCGAATCAGAGTCCTCTATTTTGCAAATGGGTCGGTGAGCTTCCAAGACCAGTTCAAGCTTCTCTTTCTCCTTTTGTAGTTCAGCTATTTCCTTCTGCAAGCGGGACTTTTCATCCTCCAGCATGTCTGTCTCCTACAGCAGGAGAAAGACAGAGTTTGATTCATTCATGCCTGACTGAGACCAACACCTTACATATTAACATATTACATATACTATTATATTAAAGATCACTCACAGTTTGCAGGGAATCTGTCAGCTCCCGTCTCCGATTGCGACACTTTGCTGCTGCCAGTTTATTCCTCTCCCTTCTTACTCTGCGCCTTTCGACTTCTTCCCGAGATAACTGAAGAGGAGAAGAAAAATTACTACAAAACATGAAGGCGGCCTAAACTCCTGAACTGGATTAATCCGGCTTGTTTTAGGCAAACAGCTAATTTCAAAACATCACATGCACAGTGAAATTCCACCACAGGCAGCATGACACAGGTGAAATACTCCCACCATGTGTGCACACTGACTCATCACAGCCATGGCAGCTGCAGGGTTGAAAAGCGTCTGGGCTTTTGTGCCTTTGTAACACCCGAATTCTGACTTCATCCAACATTCTACTGAATAATTGCAGTTAATCCAACATTTCCCGCCCTTTCGGGGTGATGAGTCACGCTCAGACCCCTAAAGTGACTCAGGTGTGAGTCACAGAACATGACTTGCCCCTATGAGTCACATGACAGTCCACTTCCTGTTCAATGAATTTACAACTTTATGACGAGGATGTGTGCCAAAGCGTGCCTGGGGAAACGTACAGAATTATACTGTGTGTTGGAAGTCAAATGTAAAGTTACTTTGAATGGAGTGATGTTTCTATAGTAAGAAAAAACTGATAATCACCTGTTAATTTTACTGTCAACAAAAACTCAGTAAAAAAACAAAGGAGAATACAACAGTGTGTGTTTAACTCCAGTGCTGAGAAAAAGATTTAAAAAACATATCTTTAGATTTTCTTCCTATTTCTCCATACATCTAGAGGAAGTGGCACTATTGTGTCACAGAGAATTACAGGACATTACGCACTGATTACACAAAAGTGATTGAGCCACACTCCACACCTCAGCATCCACACCACATTCCCTCGAGGGAGAATGCAACTTCCAAGAGGGCTCATTCACTTGTTTCTTAGTGGAAAAACAAAAAACCCACAATCATTTGTGAGCTATGTGCTTACATGTTCATCATTCCTGCGCCTTGTTGAAGATGGGCTGTTTGCAGAAGTTCTTATGACCCCTGTCCTGAGAAGGTGAGACTGGGAAGGTGGTGGAACCAGTGGCCTCGCCCCTGGGTGGACTGGGTAAGGAGGTACTGGTGATCGCGAAGGGCCTGGTGGATGCATGAGAGAGGGCTGGACCAGCCACTGGAGGTCCTGGTTGCTTGTGATGGCATTGAGGCTGGGGATAAACTGACTGGCCCCTGCCATTGTAAACTTCTAGGGAAAAAAGAAAAATAAACAGTTTGAAAGAAGAAGATTTTATATAATGAAATATTCACGATAAGTAACAAGTGCAGGATTAAAAGTGTAAACTAATATTATTGCGTAACTATTATATAACCATTATTATAAATATTATTATTTTTTATCTATTACTTGTACAACTAAACTAAATTACAGTGTGATGATTTAACAGCTTTAAATTTGTATTCCTTAATGTTAGCTAGAACATTTTTAGTTATTTCTCAAAACTTTAACCGTATTGTTCTTATTTGACCCCTAACCTTTTACCCAGTTCAGTCAGTGACAGCACACCTACCTGCTCCTGATGTGTGGCTGAAGTGCTGGTGTTTCCAAGGGAAGCAGGGTTTGTCCCAGAGGTGCCTGTGTACGGTGGGTTGCCTCTTTCTTGACTCCCAAAGTTTCGATACATCCTCTCTTTCTCAGTGAAAAGAAAACTGAATCCAGCTGTGGCTATATAGTCTTCCGTTCTCACGAAACTAAGTGGTTGAGTCTTGTGTTTTAATTCAAATAGGGGGCAAGCCCACCGATTTGCGTATTCGGTAGAGTCCAAAGAAGTCTTCAAGGGGGAGCGAGGAAAGAAATATCTCCTTGTTTTTTCCCCAGTCGTCCAAAAACCTTCGAAAACAACTTTCAGCGCTCACGGTAGTCCTCAGTCGTACATCCAGGATCGGAAGTCTGGGAATGATCGTGAGGTTGTAAACTCTTTAAGCAGCAGTATATGCACACCACGCCCCTCTGTACTTACGGGAAATAGTGTTGTCTGGAACCTCTCACGAAATTCTCCACGTGTCGTGACGTCATTTACCATATTTGGTGAGAGTTTCCTCCAGAGACTAGTACAGGGATTCCTCTCAAAGACAGCCCACACCTCGTGCTCTGAAACTGCCGCTGTAGTGATTTCTCTTATCTGGAGGAGGCTTAAAGCACTGGGTACACTTTATAACTGAAAGCCAAAGCACGGAGACTCTTTGTTTATACTGCAGTGAAATTTGTACATGTTATCAGTACAAGGGTAACCAGTTAAGGGTTGAAGTTTGAAAAAAACACACACACACGCAAACAGATTGCTCAGTGAGAAACCCTGAGCAATCTGTTTTTTCACACTTAAAAAAACACTGATCTATTTTTATTGATGTGCACCTCTATTTCCAGGGATTATGGAAAGTTTAAGACATTTCTGTTTAGAAACAAACATGAAACAGTTACTAAAAGTATCAGTGTGACATAACTCCCCGCCTTATCTCCATTAGAGATAGGCTAAGGAGCAGGTGGTTCTTGTATACCTCTTGGTAATTTTCTTGGGCTAGGAAATCATGTCTTGTTCCATGTTCCCATGGGCTTGGGAACACCTCACTGTTCCCCCAGAAGAGCTAGAGGTGGCTGTGGAGAGGTCTAGGCATCTCTGCTTAGACTGCTGACCCAGTGACATGGACAACCAGGAGAACACTAACGGATAGGTGGATTAAATCAGTCCAGCCTGCTGCTACTGATACTGGTGTAATGATGTGGGTGATATTTTCTAACTGAACATCATATAAACACCACAGTATAGTAGTGAGTGTTGTTGCTGACCAAGTCCATCCCATCCCTGACCAGCGTACTCATCTTCTGATGGCTTCTTCAAGCAGAATAATGCACCTCGTCACAAAGCTCAAATCACCACAAACTATTCTTCTGAACATGAGTTCACTGTATTCAAATGGTTTCCCCAGTCAGCAGATCTGAATCCAATAGAGCACCTTTGGGATGTGGTGGAACAGGAGATTAATAAAACTGTTTTATCATTAAACTCAATGTAAATTAATACTTGCACTTTATTTTTTCTGTAATGATCTCTCAGATTCCTTTTGTTTAAGATAATTTAACTTGATTTTACACTTTTTTGGTTGATGTTTTTTTTTTTTTTTATATGTTATGTACTACTCTATTTCCACTTGTATAAACTGAGTTCTTACACCTCATGGGGATTCAAACAGCACATTTTTCAACTGAAATCCTTCAATATCCTTGAAGATAGATTAGACAAGTTTCTAGAAGTTATTTGAACATAATTTAAGCATATTCAGTAACAGTTTAAGGATGCTACCTAAAAAATAACCCTAACAACAACAAAACAAAAACTCTATGACAGAAACCTTTACACAACAGGGGAAATAGAATAGAATAGAATAGAATAGAATTCAACTTTATTGTCATTGCACATGCACAGGTACAGGGCAACAAAATGCAGTTTGCATCCATCCAGAAGTGCTTTAGTGATATAGATATATTACAATATATATTAGCAATAATATAGATATGTGAGTATATTACAGAAATGGGTCTATTATGGTATGTTATAATGTACACGGTATGAAGTATGTTGTGAATATTCTATAACTATAAGTATGTACAGGCTGTAGTGAGTACAAGCTATGTACAGGATATGAACAGGATATAAATATGAAAAACTATACAGAATATGAAATAAATAACTTTACAGAATCTGGGATATACAGCTATACAGAAATGGAACTATGCAAGTTGTAAACAGTTGTAGGATTAAAGATTATCGAATGTACAGAATGATTATTTACACAGAGCTATACAGTAGTGCAGTTAAGATAAGTGAGATATAATTCCTACAGAGGCTATATAAAGTGCTAGTGGTTGTGAGTGGTGGTTCAGTCCATGTTATTATTGTGTTTAACCCTACTGCTGTCATCTTAATAACACACAACTGTAAGCTATAAATTTTCTGATAAGTGAAACACATTTTTATATCTTATATATAAATATATTTGAAATGTGTCATGTATCCTATGGGGTTAGTTGGCGGCACTTTTTTGGCTGCCACTCTCACTTTTCTAACCACATCAGTGTGCATGCATGCTTGTGGATATGAGTCAGTCAAATGGCAAAAAACTGCTTGCTTACTTACTTCACCACACATTTGAACTTCTGTTTTTTTACTTAAAAGGATAATATAGTAGGAAACAGCTTAACAGACTGGCATAGAGGGTCTGGACAGTCTCCTAGATGCCTTAGAGGAGGTGAGTAAGAGGAGGACGTTAGCCAAGTTACCCTCCCCCTGCATCGCATGGCACTGTGGATGCCCTGAGCAGCTCCTTTAGCAGCAGACTGTTACAGCCCCCATTTTATGCACAAATTTGAAAAAAATTATTCACTTTCAATTAATTTACTTTTTCTTCCTGGCCCTTGTACTGCTGTCACAAATGAACTTCTCCAGTGTGCGATCAAATAAAGTCTATGTCTATCTCTAGCTAGTAAAGATTTTAAAAAGAAATACATGGTGTAGAGCTGGTAAACGTAGCATGTCCCAGCAGCTGCTGACCTTGCAGTCCCTGGGGACAGAGTTCCCGGCTGCTGACTGTTGCATCAGTTTCTCATATTACCAGTGCTTGCTCCAGGATCAGTATTTTTCGAGGTTAATTACAAAGACAGATAGCTGTCTACTTGAAAAGGTGTGTTTTGGGGAGAAAAAAGAAAAAGTATGCGTGTGTTTCTGTGGCCAAGAGAAAAGAGTGAGAGAAAGACACTGAACATTGAAGTTTGGATTCAAATTTCATTTTACCAACAGTCTGTGAACAAAAGCTGAAACAGCCAGACATTTTACAGATTCAATACCTGTTGCTCAATGACACATTTCAATGAGCGTAATGTTTCAGATTTTTGAAACTACACCCTGTAATAATAAAGACAGAAATCACTGTTTATGGTGTCATATGGGACAGTAGGATAAAGGTGAGCATCACATGACTAAAGCTTCAGGAATGCAGTGATGACACACCTGCAGTAACTCTGCTGGGACATGCCACAACTTGTCTGAACTTCTTTTTTCTGGCTGATTACACCTTCATTCATCAGCTGGAAGTTGTTTGTTTTGTTTGTTTGTTTTTTGTTATTTTATCAAGACAAGTCTGGTTTATTTATGAAATAGATAAACATCAGTGTAAAGAATGGAAGTAGTGCTTTAATGTAACATTTTTTATTCTTAGTGTGAGTGAAGCCTGTTGGTTTCAGTTTTACTCAACTTTTCCCCTCTAAAAGTTAGGGGCAAGAGGGGAGAGGGGGGAAGTGTAGATTCCATTTCAATTTACTCATCCTGAAAAAAAAAACAATATCCACACCCACCCACCCACACACACATCCCACACACACATCCCACATACGTGCTTCACAAAGTATAACGCTACTGTCATGCAACTTCAATTTATTTGATTTAAAAGATGTTGCATTTCACACCCATTTAATTTATGATCACGCAGTATGAAGCAGATTATCTTACAGTAATCGTGCCATGCGTGTGCCAGGACAGTATTGACAGTGCCAGCCACTGTCTCAGGTCTCAAATAAAGATGTGAGTGGATATAAATATAACACTAATGCAAATTTCTTGCTGTGAAAATAGTTAGGAATATTCTTTTTTTCTGTGTTGTAAGCCTGAAATTTTAAATAGAAAATCAAAAGATTAATATTTAAAGTACAAAGTAAGTGGTAAGAAAGCTGATAAGCGGTATGAAATGGATGGCTATGTAGCAAATATAATTAACTATTAAAAGATTAAGGACTACTGGCAAAAAAAAAAATCTGTTAGTGAAAATAAAAGTATGTTGGTGCAGCTGATCCAAGTGGAAAAATATCTAACTCCTTAACCCGGTTATGCTGCCCTGGAACAGAAGGAGGGCTTTTGTACTTTTGTTTTTATGTCCTTAGGAATGGATTACATGACAGAAGAGTTCCTGTCATGTAACTGAGATTAGATGAAGACATTTCATTCTGTTCATTTTCCATTTTCTATGACTCAACAGTTTATTAGAAATTCATGATACACTTAAACCTTTTTGCACAAAAAGTAAGACAAACAATTTGGAGTTTATTTGGTTTTTGTTTTTAAGCCAATTAGGAGATCAAACCCATTTAGGATCAAATTAGGCTACATGCTGCCCAGGAACTAAGTAGTTTGATGCGCCTAGTTTTGGGTGAAGAGTATCAAACCTCTGGCCTGCCAAGGGATCTAAAGTAGGCCACTTAGTGTTTTTAGAAAATGAGAAAACTGCAGATGAGGAAGGCTTAAAATTTGGGACTTTACATTGTATTTTGTCCTTAAGCAAATGGTTCAAATAATTCATGTTCAAACCTCTCGATGATGAATGATTTGGAGTTATTTTTGAAAAAGAAAAGAGGTTATTAAGTGATAGTTTTAGTGATGCAGCCCACTTAGGATCAAAGTGGGTTGTAAAAAAGGAGCAAGGCTAACAGAAAAAGTAACGCACATATTTTGTTAGCAGCAGCTGTTAGACTAAAAGTTAAAAACAAATAACTTTGAAGAATCTAAAATACAATGAATCACAGTTTTCTTAATATCAGCCCAAGTGCAATTTGAAAAACCCCAACAAATGTTTGGCTTGCATTTAATGAGATCATCTTAATAAGTGAGTAACTAATAGCCATGAAGCAATGACTCAGTTTATAGCAGTGATGCTATTGAAACTGCTCCAAAAATTCCCAACAACCAAACAACCACATCTGACACATCAGAAATGAAGTATAACAAATACCTGTACATACATTTTAGTCATAGTAGTCAGTGGCTTCTTCAGTGAATATACCAGGCTTGGTAACATTCTGAATTGAAATAATTGTTTATAACAAATATGTCTTGGAAAGGCGGCTCTGGGG